CAGGTAGACACCATGCAGGTAGACACCATGCAGGTAGACACCATGCAGGTAGACACCAGGCAGGTAGACACCATGGAACCACTGGACTGAGGTGTGTTCTAATGGCGTTCAGTTAATGAGGCACTACATATGTTTGCGTTTGTCATTTATATGACAGGTCCAGATGTGTGGAGGACGGGTGGTGTTGACAGGACTGAAGCTGTAGAGACGAAATGGTTTAGAAACTGAAACACCAAAAATAACTGACCGAGTGTAATGAAATGAGGAAGTCCCATAATGATATCTGTTAGTTTGAACTTCTGCTTGCTGAGGGTGATTTCTAACTGGAGAACAGGATGGATTTCTTTCGACATGTTTTTAACCTCGATACATCTCTGATTGTTCAGTTGTTGTTGAACTTCCTCACTGCCTCCTTCATGTCTCTTCCATACTGACAGAGTTTAGGAAGGTCGTTTTGCCTCTGAAATGCACCCAGTCAGAGATCGAGGACAGATCGGCTTGTCTGAGGAGGAATGGCCCCAAAGCGCCGCAATCATTTGGGAGAATCCAACCTGAGCTTGCTGGAGATGCATGTTTGGTGTCACCTCATGTGCTTGTCCCCAGCAGCAGCTCTCTGACCTAAAGGTTTCCTCTTCCTTTCTTTGTGAAGAGTACATCTGAACTTAATCAATATTAAGTTGACTGCTGGTGGAAGACTGGCTACGCTGCAGCCTGCAGAGGTCAGTAGAACCGAACTTATCTGCCGTTACAGATGTCAGCGTAGACTAGAGTTAAAATAATCAAGAGACGTGCTGTCTTTGGAGGTGTCTGCCTGGGAACTAAAAAGGACTGCGTCACTGAGCACAATGTCCTCAAGTGAGATCCACTGACTACTCTTTATATTCAAGAAACAAAGATGTGCTTAGCAGACGCTGAACTCTGCAAATGAATGAACACGTTAACGAACGGCTTCCTCTGGTGTTCCTCATCCCACCAGCAGTCAAGTGTGAGACTCAGCAGTTCTGGTGCCACATCACTGACAGATCGAAGCTGCAACCACAACATTTAAAAATGAAACATGAAAGTAAAATTGAATATCTTTAGACATCTTGGGGCAAAACCACAACAGATTGTGAACTTTTTCTCACAAGAAGAGACATCCTGTGAGTCAAGTCAGCACCAGCTAGTGAGCGCTGAGGGAACAACTCAAGTATGACCTGAATGTTTAAAAATCAACTTCCTGTTCAACGAACTCAGTGAGAGCATGTCCAGGTTTTCACTGCTGCAGACGGACCTGCATGTATGCATTCACTGCAGCTGTTTAGATGTTAAAACACATCTGATAGTTGTACTGACGACGGATCTGCAGCTGCCTGTAACAGAGTTCAGATCATCACAGATCAGAACATTGACCATTTGAAAAAGATTCAAAGACGCTGTTGACATTATTAGTTATGTTCAGTGTTTAAAAAAAACCTGAAATGTCCAGAAAACCGCAGCATGCAGCACTTCAGAGCAAATGTGTGGTCAGACCATGTAACTGAGTGAATGTGTGTCTGGTTCGGCTGAGCAGCGATCAGTCAGGTGATTCGTTTATCAGCCACCAGCACGTTTTCCACCACCTGCTCCCACTTCGCTCATAAAACATGTACGAGGAAACGGAAGAGTATTTAATTTAGCATCACCGTGACATGGAGTGAATTTATAACGCTCCTGATCAGTTTATGACTTCCAGCAGCCAATCATCTAATTAGAGGGAAATGATAAACCGCTGAGGCCTGTGTGGATCCAGTGAGGCAGATTCAATATGACTAAAAACGATTAAATACATATATTTAAATAAATTATAAGACTGAAGAAACAAAAGCAAAAAAATATAATCTATTCTTTAAATCTTTAAATTCTGACAGAAACTGATTCACTTACAAAACAAAATTAACTAAATTCATTAAAAAAAAATTTAAAAAATAATGGAAAATGAATAAAAATAATAAAATACGAAATTAAATGCTTTGTTTTTTAATATATATTAAAAAAAAAGAATAACCACAAAACCTCAATAAAATTTAAATATAAACTTTACATTTTAAGATTTCTGGGGGAAAGTTGTTAAAGGTGTGTTTACATTTTGTTTATTGTAAAACGTCCTGTTTCTTGCGGATCACAGGTACGTTGAGTCCAGAGAGGTGAATGACGGCTGGAGGCCTGCAGGTGAGCGAGGTGAACTACTTCCACCTGACCATGATGACGTGAGTCATAAAAGCACAAGCAGAGCAAAGAAAACACAAACGGACAGAAGCTACTGACACATCCAGTATCTTCAAGGCTCAGAAGACGTTTATTTGCTCAACATCAGTGAGTACAGCGATACCACATGAAGCGGTTTGTCAGCTGTAGTTTCTGGAGGCAGACCTGCTCACATGGACTCCTCTCCTTCACTGCAGGCGGGATGTACGTCGCTGTGTTTGCACATGTTGTATGGAAACCACCTTCTACACCTGGTCTGAGCAGGACGGTGACAGCATCATTAAGATCAGCAGGTGATTGTTCATCACAGCTCAGTGGACAGTTTCCTGGGTTTGGCCTCCTCCTCGTTTCGTGGGACGTGGAAGTCCACATATGGACACCACTTGGTGTTGAGACACACCAGCTTCTTCAAAGTGGACGTTTTGACGATGTTGAAGCCCGTCTCTCCTCCGAAGGTGCTGGGCTTCCAGTATTCAGGGGAGCAGATGGGGTTTCCCTGCAGACCCTTCAGGGAGAAGGGAGCACCGATCTCCACCATGCTCTCACCAAATATGCCGTTCAAGCGAGTCTTCTCCAGCATGATGCCGGGGTAAAACTCCAGAGCATCTATGTCTCCGTAGAGTTCCTCCAAGCCTCGAGCCATTTCTACGTCATCTGTTTGAAAAAGACAGAATTTACTGAGAGTTTCTTATCAGTGATTATGTCACTGAATCAGTGTGTAACAAGCAGAGAGGTTTTCTGTTTACTGTCGAACAGCTGGCTCCGAATGTACAGGGCAGCAGGGAGACTAGGGAGGGAGGCCACCGAGTCCCCTGTGACTCCTCTGGAGGAGGTACAACAAGGAGACTAGGGAGGGAGGCCACCGAGTCCCCTGTGACTCCTCCTTCTAGTAACTCATTCAGAGGAGTCACAGGAGTCTTGGTGGCCTCCCTCCCTCGTCTCCTTCTTGCTCGGTCAGGTCTTGAGGACGGCCTGCTCTAGGCAGATCTATGCATGTGCAATAGTCCTTCCCTTCCTTAATGATGAATTTAACTGTAATCCAAGGACACTCACTGACTGGAAATGTTCTCGTATCCCCTTAGTTTTGCTTGTCTACAACCTTTTTGCTGAGTCGCTTGGAGGGTTATGTAGTCTTCAAGGTGCAGTCACATCCAGGTTGGTTAGTTGGACTAACTAGCTTTACCTTTCCAGATAGCAGCTGGCTGCCTAGCTTGTTAGTGTCTACAGCTGGTCCTCACAGGTGTTGAATGTTTGAAAGGGACAGAGGACAGTACATGTGGGCTGTTAAAAAAACATCAAACATCTTCAGTTACGATGTACTTGAGTTGGTCGCTCACGGTCATCTTCTACGAGCGCCACAGAACCATCCAGTCCACGCTCCCAGTCAGAGGTACCACAGTCAGACTAGGATTCATGCGTCCTGACTCAGACGTGAGGAAAAATGCCTGCAGACGCTTCAGGAGCTTTCATGCCTGCGTGAGTAGCAGCAAACGGAGCTTCAGCTCATATCTCATCCGCTTACCAGTGAATTCATTGAAAGACTCGTACGGCTTCAGGTTAAACTTCTTCCTGTATTCATTGAAAGGCTGCACACGAGCGACTCTGGACTCTCTGATGACCATTTCTGCCACTTTCAGCACCGTCTGATGGGAGTTGCGACCGCCTCCTATCTGGAAAACAGAAACAGTTACTCCAGTGTTACTCTGATGAGCAGCGAAGGCGGCGAGGCTCAAGGACCCACACTGAGCGTCTGGCTGGTTAGGAGGCAGAAATCATGTGTTGCATGCACCAGAGGATGTAGAGAGGTGTTAAGCAGAGGTGTTATCTGAGAATACGATCCCTCCCTTGAATCGAGGAAGTCATTGTGAGGGGAAGTTCACATGAACATGGTCGGTTTAGGGCACACAGTGGTTTAGTGGTGATGGGCTGCGTGTGCTTCATCCACAGGCTCAGAGTAGAGCCCTCTGTTGGCCCGTTCATTACCTGTAAGGCTACAGGTGAGGCTACGTCGTCGGTATAAATGTTAATAGAAGAAGAGAAATGTGTGCATGTGGAGGCTTCAGGAGGCTGCAGCTGTAACACCAGAGTCACAGCACATTAAAGACCAAACAGATGATAAACGACTTCCTCTGTGATATTTCCTGTCATTTATCTCGATGTGATCCAAGCTGCACAAACAGCATCAACCATTTGGCAGTTATTCCACTGATGCACTTCACCACCTCTGTCTACAGACAGTCAGTCAGAAATCATGTCAGCAAGTGTTTTCAGTGAACTTCAATGTAAATCTGCTCAGTGGTGTAACTGAGACGCAGACAGCATGTTGTAATAAGTCTGAGGGTCAACAGGGTTCAGGACGTGTTGTGGTCAGACGACGTGCTGGGAACTGAACACCAGACGTGTGTTTGTGCTTTGTGAACGACGAGGCTGTGGCTGTGAATAGACTCTGGTTACTGGTTACCGGTTACCGGTTACTGGTCTGCACTTATACAGCACTTCACAGTGTGTTTCTCATTCACACACATTCATCCACCAGTGGCCACAGCTCCATGCACGGTGCTGCTGCCATCAGGAGCAACGTCAGGCTCAGGACACTCGGACTGTGGAGGGGTCGAACCAGCAGCCTTGTGATTGGAGGACAACCTGCTCCACCTGAGCCACAGCCGCCCACAGACTTTGTTGTTCTAAAGTCTTTGACTCGTTTGTTCGTCAAGACATGTCTTTTCAATCTGAGCATCAAAAACACCAGAAATCCAAAGAAATCTGACTGGAGCTCTATTTATGATGCTACTATGGCCTCCTGCTGTAGCATTAGCGCCACCTGCAGCCTCTGGCGGTGAATGCAAACATGCAGGTTGAAGTTTGATTTAACTTGAGGAGAAAACTCCACTTGTGAGTGCGTCTGCCTTTGCTGCAGGCAGATGTTCCTACTGTCTGTAAATACGGTTCAAAATAAAGAGAATCATCCATCCATCATGTCTCCACCTTCATCCTCACCAGGGTCATGGGGGGCGGAGCCTATCCCAGCTGACTCAGGGTGAAGGCAGGTTCACCTGGACAGGTAACCAGTCTATCACAGGGCTACACTTAGAGACAGACAACCAAGCACACTCACATTCACACCTACGGACAATTTACAATCAGAACCAAATATGGTGAATATAAATGTGTCCCTCATGGTTTCTGATGTTTGTCTCAAATGTGAGGATCTTTATGCTGTAAGAGACTAAATTAGTTCAATTTGATCTCAGCAGGATTTTAAATGTTCCGTCCCCAGACTACCTTCACACAGGTACGTCCTATAGCAGGAAGGTACGAGCTTCTTGTTGCAAACCGCTCATTATGAGCTTGTGTAGCTGCTAGCTTGTCCCACATGTTGACTCGTGCACACTACCTGTCCCGCAGGCTGTCGAGAGAAAGCATCCACCAGCTTCTCCACGCCGTAATGCATGAGCAGGGAGGTGTTGTATAAGAACTGGGAGTAGGGGATCTCCTCTCCGTCGATGAGGAAGCTGTCGGGCATCAGTGGGTGCCAGTGGTAGAGCTGGCAGAACTCCAGGGCGATCCGATTGCTGTACTGGAAACGTGCGCTGAAGAGCAGCGATGGGTCGAACTTGAGCTTCAGCAGGTAGCCGCTCAGGTGCTGCACGTATTCCTCTATTATGATGTTGATGATCTCACCTGGAGGCAAAACGTAGCATCAGCTGATAAAGTCAACCAGAGTCAGTGAGCTGAAGCAGACATCAGAGAAGGCTGAAGAGATTTTACTGGTGTCTAAATAGTTATACGACACATGGGTCAGAACCAATGTGCACGTGAACACACGGAGGCCCTGGTGATGTGCACATGCACACGGTGGTTAGACCTGATAGATGTCCATGGATAGCATATCAACCATAAGAACAAGCAAAGCACAAAGCCTCACTCTCACACACGTCCTGTTCTCACTCTTTATTTAGTTGGTTTTAGGACATTTAAACAGAATTTTGAAGCTCCTTTTGGTGCCACTAATCTTCAGACCCGATTACGTTTAGAAGCTCCTCTAAACCTTCAGCTGCACAGTCACAGTAGAAAACCTCACAGATGGGACTTCTTGGACCACATCAGAATCATGCATCCAGCAGCCCTTAAACATCCATCATCTCTACACCTTCATCCTCACCAGGGTCATGGGGGGCGGAGCCTATCCCAGCTGACTCAGGGTGAAGGCAGGTTCACCTGGACAGGTAACCAGTCTATCACAGGGCTACACTTAGAGACAGACAACCAAGCACACTCACATTCCACACTCCACGTAGAAAGATCCCGGGTGTCCTCACCGGGACGCCAACCGGCGACCTTCTAGCTGTGAGGCCACGATGCTAACCACTGAACCACCTGCAGCCTCGGCACTTGAACAGAAACTATTGACCTGATTTTCACATTATAGAATTTAATGTCTCTTTAATCGCCAGCAGGTGGCGCTGCAGCCTTCATCAGACCCATGTCAGTGTAGAAGAAGCCCTTCTAAATGCGACGCAGTCACATCCGGTGTACCAGAGGAATCAAACTCTTCTGTTCCTCCACACTGGGACTGGTTCACTCAGGGTTCATGTTATTTTGTCCACCCTGATGACACACCACCGATGTCTGCCTTTGGTTCATAACTACAAGTCAATGAACATGAACACATTTTACATGTTCTCCATCAGCTCTGTGCGACCCGTTTACATTCAGACATGAAGCCAGCGGTTGGTGCTGATGTGTTCTGGTCGGACTTAAGGTGTGAAACATGGACCACCGTCAGAAGCCCGGAGCTTCTTTCATAGACGTGTTAGTGACGCTCTGGAACGATGAACACGTCCAGGTATTATGGAGGGAAACCCTCTGATTGGTGGGAAAAGGTGACTCATGAGCCCAGTATAAAGCATGTTGTGGTGTTCTGAGGGTGGAGGTCACCCTGGACACAGGACGGAGCTGGTATGGGAGGCAGGTCTGAAGGCCAGGTGAGAACAAACGGACGCTGCATTTAGTTAGAAACCAAAACCAAAGTCTGCTTTACGGTGTCACGTATGAACTGTATGAACTTCCTGCTTTCAGCTTTTTATGCCGTTCGGCTGCTTCTGCTGGTTTTACAGACTTCACATGCAGCCGTTTCATTGGTGTTTCAACCTGCGTCCATCCAGGGGGCAGCACCTGACCGTTAACCTTTATGTTGGTCATTTAAGTGCACTGACCCTGAAACACAAGCAAACCAGCCAAGACACTGGAAAACACAATCTGTGGCCTGTCAGGACATCACCAGAGTCACTGAGGAGGTACGATGGTGCTTCTGATCAGTTCCTTCATCTTGGTCTATGAGTGCATGTCTGAAGCAGCAGGCCACTTCTGCTCCACATCGACCTGCAGACTAACCAGTTAAGGACATTTACTCACCAATGATGATGAGTCTGGTGGTCTGGAACAGCTGCTCATCGTCCCAGCTGGGATGCTCAGCCTTCAGGACGTCACACACTCTGTTGTGCTCCCTCAGCCATATGGTGGCGTACATGGTGAGGCCCGGCAGGAGGCCGAACACCTCCTGACCGATGGCCAGGCGCTGCTCAGCTGGGAAGGCTTCAGGGTAAACCATGTGCACGGGCACCTCAGACACCGTTGGGGGGTACATCTCACCGTTCACCAGCTGTGGAGCAGGAACCGTCCATCCAGTTAGTGCCTCTGCTGGAGTTCAAGCCACCGAAATATCTAAATATCACATTTTCTTTCTTATATATATATATATATATATAGAGAGATATTTTTTTTTTTAAATCAACATACTCTTGTCAGAGCTTTTTTGTGCCCCAAGACAAGTCACGCAACAGCCAAAGCAGATCGGATGTGTTTTATTTATGACTCTCAGATAAAGATGATGGTATCTTAAACTGTCACCACACCACGAGGCCTTCGTCGGAGGCTAGATAACCGTAACCATGACGCTGAGGTCTCTCTTGTCTCTCTTTTAACCGCCAGCAGTGCTGACTGGGAGATGGAACATGAGATGCTCAGAAGTTCAAGTGACGAAGGACGAGAACGTTATTAAAGACGAAGCTCTCAAGACGGTTGAACACAGATCTGGGGCGACGTGAGTTATGAGGAGGTCAATTTAAATTCAGCATGCTAACCCCAGTTATTATGGTTATTAATCCAAACCTTATCAGGCGTTAGCACAGAGCGGCTCCAGAAGCAGCCGTTTTACTGTCAGAATGAACAATTTGTCAAACAAGCAGATGCAGACAGTTCGTCTAACATGGAGGGAAATACGTTTATTTGTTTTTTCAGTTGGTGAACTGATTCCTCTTTTGTTTTACTACAGATATATAAATCTGCATCTAGCATAGCTTAGCATAGCTTTTCATAAAAACTGGCTAAACTATTAGCCTGGTTCTAACGATAGTTTACAAAATCCTCCTCCCAGTATCTGTATAGCTCACGGAAACAGTTTGTTAAGTTAGCCCAACACTTTCTAGCTTGCTAGTCGGCAAAGCTAACTGACTGCTGACTCTAGCTAGCAAGACGGTGTTAGCTTAGCGGCATTAAACCTGCAAAGCACCAGGTTAAGATCGCTGTTTTTGTCAGAATTAAGTAAATGAGATGCAGGGTGCTTATTTGCAAACTTCTGAGGTTGCTGAAGACAGTTTTTGTCATGCTGAGGTAGCAGCAGGCTAGCTCTTGCTCTGTTTGGGTCTGCATGCCAAGCTAAGCTAACAGGCTGCAGCCACCTCCTACATGCAGGGACGGTTCTGTCCTCCACTGGTTTTAGAGTTTTTGATCCAGACACAGCCCAGACTGACTTCATACTTCTCTGAACATGGCAGCAGTTTTTCTACGACCTGATATTTCAGCTTTCCGTCTTCATGAAGCCGAAGCTGATGCTGTCGGACCAGCTCGTCTCCGTAGATGTTGCTGGCGTCTACCTGGTGGGTGAGACAACAAACGCATGCGTATCCATCAGTTAATCAACACGCAGACATGCTGTGTGGCGTTTAAACCTCTGAAACCAAAGTAGTGTTTTGCAGCGAACTGAGTTCATTTTTCACTGCAGCGTAAAGTCGTGCATGGCGACGGCACAGCGAGGGTCAGAATCAGCTGGAACGCCCTCATTCATTACAAAACTAACAAACACAGACTTGAAAGCCGAGTTTCTTGGACCATTTATGTTGCAAAACTTGAAAAGAAAAAATGGAATCGATATATTCAACATTTCTCCACCTGCCAACATATGTCACTCATACTAAAAAAGAAAACATGACTCTGTATACTGGTGATGTTTCACTGCTGATATTTCTAATCTGCTGTCATAAACGTCTGCTCGGTGTGAACACTGCCTGGACTTCTGTGACTGGAGGTTGCAGCAGAAACACTTCATGGCTGACTGAGGAGCAGGATGTTGGTTTGGGAATACTTTAACTACCATATAAGATTATCTGTGTTTGCACCATTTCCAGGCGGTGATAAATGATGGGTCTAGTTCTGTGACTTGTTTGGAGACAACATGCAGCTTGAACCTGCTGGTGGGTTTGAGGGGTTTCCAGGTGAACGGTTCAGGCCTGATTAAATCCACCATTCAGTGTCTCACCCCGTGTCCCAGCGCCTTGGTGAAGCCTCCTTTAACTTTGTGGTTCGTCTTGAAGAACTGGTGGGTGAAGTGTTGAGCCATGAAGGCAAACATCAGATTGGTTCCCTGAGGATCCGGCCTGAACTTCTGCCTCCTGAAGAACTTCTCAGCCAACACTTTGGCATCAGGAAGCACAGGTTTACCTGCAGAGAAAGAACCATTTGAAGCTCTCCTCTGGAGGTCTGTGGCCTGTGCCGAGCTGTGCAGGTCTCACCTTTAGTTCCCATGGGCAGAGGGCAGTCCTCAGGTACAGGAGGGAGCAGCCGGGTGTAGTAGGAGGTGTTGTAGTAGGACTCCCAGCTCAGGTATCCGTACTTGGTGTTGTAGGTCGGAGGGCTCGGAATAAGGTCGCTTCTGACTTTGGGACAAACACTAGTTTACTACAAATGTCTTCATTGTGTATTTTGCACATTTGCTAGCTCAGATCCTACTGAGGTGGTGAAAATAAGACTCTGCGATACGATCACAGCTCAGCAAGTTCAGCTGAAGATCTTCTCAACATTCTGACGTTAGGTTTCTTGTCAGTACGACTACTGTGAGAAAGGTCTATTCATAAGTGAGCCTACTCATTTAAATCCTTCCTCGGCAGCCCGTTGATGTGTTCCTGACTGGCTAGCATCACCACACTAGTCATTAGCATTAGCAAGGAGCATGAAGGAACACACACACGGCCAGAAGCACAGAGACCAGAAATATCTTTTGTGCAGTTATAAAACAAAAAAAATTAAAGTTGCATGAAAAAAAAATAATTTACCAGACAAAAAAAGAAAAAGCTTGAAAAACATTTCCTGCTGCTATGTGCTGCTAGCGCTGAAGCCACGGTGACTCCACATGAAGTTCTGTTACTACTTATTTCATGTGTTTCTATCGGAGTCTCCTGGATGCTCGCTGTGAGCGCTGCTCAGTCTCTGATTGTATGTTTGACATGTTTGCTGGTTTATAACCTTGGAGCACTGCTGTGGCAAAAAACAAACACAAACAAACAGATGACGGAGCGGCTGGAGGCCTGCAGTGAGACACAATCAGTTTGGTGGTGTGCTGGCTGAGCGGCTTGTTGGGGTTTCATCGTTCCACCAACCTGTCAGCACTAATCTCATGAAGGCGTCTCTCAGGAAGGAGTTGTTGACGAGGTCCCAGAACCACTGGAAGTGAGTGAGGATGAAGTGGACGGCCGAGGGGCTGGGCTTCAGCAGCAGACGGACTCTGGTCCAGAACTCCGCTAAAGACCAACAACAGACTTTGTTTTGCAGCGTTTCTGTTGAACACATCTAGTAAATGGTTTATGAGCAGTGCGCAATGGCTTTGATAATGGATAATTATTAATCCATTAGTGATTTGTAGATCAGATATCAGCCATCAGAACCCTCGGGACTCGAGCAGCTACGTCTACGCTGACATCCTTCAATACGTGGAGGAGTCACCTGAACAGAAACTTACGAGCGGTGCAGTTGTCTCCAGAGAAGCCGGTGCGAGTGCAGTCACACTGGTAGCCGTCTGGCCCGACTCGCACACACACTCCTGAGTTCTGACACGGGTAGTAACAGCAGGGATTGACTGCAAACCAGGAAGAAGACGGTTGCATTACATGATGGACGAGGGGCAGAATGCAGCTCCTCAACTAAACCGACCCGATGTGCAAAACAAATATCAAGACAAACAAAGAAGCTCAGAGACACACAAAACAGAGACAGAGGTGTGAACCTATAACCTGTAACCAGGGATGTAAAGCACCTCCAAAAGGACACAACATGACAACAGAGGTTTAAAACCACCACAAAGATACAGACACAAACTGTCCATGACAATGAAAAACAACTGTAGACATGTTAAATGAAGACCGAGATACAATCAGTAAAGGAGATACACAAAACTACCGCAACACGAGAGCACAACGTAGAGACACCAAACGGCTACACCAAGACACAACACTACCACAAAGAGATAAATACTGAAATTAACTCAAAAGACACACAACAAGCAACTAAGATGGACACAGAACAGCTATGAAGAGAATGACTAGCAAGACTCTAAACAACTACGAAGACACACTAAAGTGTTGTAAGGATACACAAAACCTCCACAAAGACACGAAACGACTGAAAAAGATGCAGAACTACCAGAAGAATCTGACTCATACACACAGAGTGGCCACTGTAATGCAAAACAGCCACAAAGACATGCAAAGCAACACCATCCATCCATCATCTCTACACCTTCATCCCCACCAGGGTCATGGGGGGCGGAGCCTATCCCAGCTGACTGAGGGTGAAGGCAGGTTCACCTGGACAGGTAACCAGTCTATCACAGGGCTACACTTAGAGACAGACAACCAAGCACACTCACATTCACACCTACGGACAATTTACAATCACCAATTAACCTCAGCATGTTTCTGGACTGTGGGAGGAAGCCGGAGAACCCGGAGAGAACCCACGCTGCACGGGGAGAACATGGAGACTCCACGCAGGAAGATCCCGGGTGTCCTCACCGGGACGCCAACCGGCGACCTTCTAGCTGTGAGGCCACGGTGCTAACCACTGAGACACCTGCAGCCCAAAGCAGCTTCAGCGTAACACAACCTGACTGTGAAGGAGCCGGCTGTGCGGTCTGGTGTGGTTCTCCTGTGGAGATGGTGGCTCTCCTTGTACGTGATGCTTTCAGGCTCATAGTCTGTCCGTGGCTGTAGGACTGAGTAACAAACAGCAGCTACTTATTTAGCTTCCAGACCAAACTGCTGAGCACGTCGGCTACTTTACACATTAAATAAAAGATTAGAAGCACCAGTGGAGCAGAGTGATGACTGGGACTCAAACAGGAAACCAGACACAGACAACCTGAACCCTTCCCACCACCGAGGGCCTCTGAGCAAAACTCTGGACCCACTGAGTGAAGCTCGGCTGCATAATAAAGGTCACAGTGTGTCTGTGCTTCTGACGTTCTACCCAGAACACAGTGTCATGGCTGTCTGACTGAAGTCTGGCCATGAAGTCAGTGATGTGTGCACCAGGCGGCCCCTCCACATATCTGCAACACGACTTCCTGTCCTGCCTTCACACTTGCAGACGCTCTGTGAGATAACGTGACTCTGCAGCGTTTTCTTCCTCATTAGCAGCGAATGAGAGAACAGATAAGCAGCCTGCACAGACATGAGCACATGAAGGCTTTCTGGAAGGAGAAAGTGACAAATGCTGGTTGTTCCAGACCCACTTGAGTCCAGTCCAAGCCACAGAGATGCTCTTTAAGAACAGGATCAGGTTGTCTCAGTATTAGTGGATCCATTCAGGGGCAAAGGCGACTTTCTGAGGAAAACACATCCTGCATTTGTTCTGGTTCTACTGAAGTCTGGATGTTGATTTATGTTCTGACTCTGAATGGGATCAGGGATCAGTCAAGTGTTTTTCGAGGTAAAACTCCCGTAGAATGAATATCTGGTATATTCTACAACTTAAAGCTGAACTACATCAGACTAAAGCGGTGTCTCTGGCAGCCTCCAGGCATGCTGATCCAGTTAGTCGGTTATCTGTGAGCCAGACTGGTGTGCTGTGGTCATTATGGAGGAAGGACGATGTTCAGCCTCAGTGTGACTGTAGCAAACCGACCAATCTGTTTATTAACTGTTATGGAGGTAACTAAGTACAGCTGAAGGGCTTTTACTCGAGTACTTTGAGGTGGAAGCCTATAACGTATGGTACAGCAGTATATTTAAATTCAGTTCTGACACGTTTCTCTAGTTTTTGCACTTTGACTATAACTGAACATGCTGGACCTGTGGTGCTGGTTCTGTGTGACACTGAGTCCCTCCAGCATGACAGCAGCACATGTTCATGTGAACAGACCAGAGGACTGTGTTCCTGCTCACAGGCACTTCTAAGAGGTGAACAGTGGTTTATAGGGACATGAGGACACATGTTAAAGAGCTACAGCCGTGTTGGAGGGCAGTGGTTTCCTCCAACCGGCTTCACCGCATCTCTCCCTGACTGTCGGTGCAGGAGGACTAACAGTCAGTGAACAAGGCTGCTGGGTTTTGTGGTTCTGGCTGGAGGCACCAAGCAGCTCCTGTCTGTCTGCTGTCATTATGTACATTAGTTCTTGTTGTTGAAGCTACTGGATATCTATCTATCCATCCATCCATCCATTCATCTATCTATCCATCTATCTATCTATCCATCTATCCATTCATCCATCCATTCATCTATCTATCTATCTATCCATTCATCCATCCATCCATCCATTCATCCATCCATCTATCCATCTATCCATCTATCTTAATGAGCTTACCCGCTGCAGCTGTCATCGATGCTAAATAGAGGAACTTAGAACAACGTCTGTCTAGATCTCAGCACTTCCTCCTCCCTGCTGCTGAAGCTGACTTTAGTGTTTTACTCCTTTACAGATGACACCCTTCTGGCTGCATAAAAGAGAAACAAGTGATGATTTACGTTGTTTGTTAAATAGATTAGCGGGACTGCTAACGGTGACGGACGCATACAGGCGGCAGATTCAAGGACAAATCAAGTCCTGGTGAAGACCTGGGCCCTGCATGCTGTAGCTGGAGTTCTGCCTCATCTGGGGACGTGATGATGGTGATGAAGAGTTGAACACATCAGTCCAGAGTCTCACACAAATCTGTTAAACCTGGTTCAGGTCCGGTGCCTGTGACGCCACATTCACATCATGTTCCTGCTCATCACAGCTCATCCTCACATCAGGACGGAAACGCTTCACGTTCAGAGCATGAAGGTGATCAGTCAGAACAACCCGGTGTTCAGAAGACCAGTGGACCCAAATCACACCAGCTAAATGTCCCCGACTGCATACCAGAACCACAGAACCCCTCACTGTTGGGCTCAAAGTCTGTCCTTCAGTCTGTCAGCGTGTCTGTCTGTGTTGCTAAGGACGGTCGCTACGCTGATGATGTGATGCCGACATGCCAGGACAGAGGCGTGGACGCTGCCTCGGGACAGTAACACCGTCAGAGCTGTTTGTTTCAAACTAGTGTAGAAAATAAGAAGGAACTTGTTGAACTCTCTGCAGCTCACGTTTTTCTTTTAGCTCCATAAACAGGAGAGGAAGAAGCCCACAGGTCAGCTTCATCAAACACATGGATACTGATGTCATTCTCACACAAGCTGTGATATCAGCAGTCTGTGCATCACACACAGGATGAGGAACAACTGACCTGAGTCTCCAGCACACGATGAGCTCTGCAGCAGCAGCAGGAGGACGAACCCCCAGACGGAGAAGATGCTGAACTCTGCTCAAAAATAACAGAACAACAGCTGAATATTAACATGATGCAGGACAAACATGTGACATTCTGCAGGCAGGTAGATAATCTGGGGCCTCACCTTTCATGGTTATTGAGATGAGATGAGAAGAACCTCCAGACGTTGTTTCTCAGCGTTACAGAGGAAGCTCCTCTCTCCATAGACCAGCTGAGGTCTGCTGAGATGGTCTCACCGGCTTTATAAGAGCAGCAGAATGGGCGTTCACACGGCTTCCTCCACTTCCTCCATTTGGTCTGCAGGAGAGCTTAAAGAAAACCTTCTGCGACCGGCTTCACAGGTTCTTCTGTTCATAAAAACTTAACTGTAGCTGCTGGAGACATGGCTGGCAGTGTGATGTTCTTGATTCTGTCTTCAAAGATCTAAAGTGTCATTTAAATCATAAGAGTGGAAACAAAAGCAGGTTGAGGCTGAAGGACTTAATGTGAAGCTCTTTATCGCCACCTGCTGGCACATCAATGTAACGTCATGATTAGAGGAAGCTTGTAGGATTCAGACGAAGGGTTTGGGTTCAGTCTGCTCTTTCATCTGCTGATCCTGCTTCAAACCAGCATTTGTAGCCTCTGTAGTCATCCAGCCGGCAGCTCAGGTCGACGTGAAACCCACAAACACTGCTGCTGCTGTTTTATCCCTTCAGCAGCTGAAGCAATGAGGACACACCTCCAGACACGTTTGATAGAAACCTGCCTTCGTTCAGGCCTCCGCTGTCATTTATCCTCCGTATACCTGCTTAGAGACAGAAAAATAAACCGCCAGGTGAATCAGGCAGGAACTCATTTTAGATTGATTCACTTCATTGTCATCAAAAGAAATCAAAATGACATCACAGACAGGAAGTCTTCTTTTTACTTCCCCTGCCAAAGGTTCCCAATCTGCAGAAAGCGTCTTTAATAAAACGTCACATCTGACTTTGTTCTCACATGAACAACAGCAGCAGCATGTTGTAGCTGCTGAAGACGCTGCTGGACAGAGCTGTGGGCTGCTGGGTCAGAGGACCTGCTTCCTCCACTTCAGAGAGCTTTTGTTGAGCTTTTATGTTTTTTATGTGTGTGCTTGTTGTGTTTTAATTATTTCTATTTATTTAAGTTTATTGTTATTATGTCAGCTCTCTGAGAGGCGGCTCATACAGAACCAACCGTCTTTACTTGCTGAAGGGCTGAGACCAGCAGCTTATCACACAAAACACCTCAGAAACACCTCAGACCTCAGAAACACCTCAGACCCTCTGATGCAGCAGAGAGCAAAGATGCTCCTTTTGTTCCTACCTGGACAGGAAACGGGGGGGAGGAGCTAAATCACCTGTCAGCTGAAAAAATGGAGGGAAACCGTGAGGAGGGACGGAGAGGAGATCTCCACAAGACTCCCCCAGTTTGTTTTATCATCGTGACCTGAAGCAGTGACCTGAGAGGCTTCACATGGAGGAGCTGAGTGGG